GGGACCTGGAAAGTATCATTCTAAGCAAAACAAGCCAAACAGAGAAAGACAAGTGTCATATGATCTCACTTATTTGTGGAATATAATGAACATAACAGTCTCAGGAATGGGGTAGTGCCAGAGACGTGGAAGTTGGGTACAGACTGACAATCCCCAGAATAGTGGGTGGGGAGAGAGATAAACCACAGAACTTATATGCATGTATGCATAAACAATGGACATGGACAACAAAGCTGGGGACGGGGCGGGGCGGGGGGAATCAGTGGGAGGAAAAGGAGAAACATCTGTAACAAAAATAAATTAATTTATTTTAGAAAGAAAAGAAAAACAGGCTTCTACAAACTGTTTAACCAGCTTCTACAAATGTCTAAGGTGAAATCCCTATGATAAATCCCTAGACTTTATCACTCATTCTGGTGCTGTTTCTCTGATCGAGACTTGACTAATAAAATATGCATATCTGTTATACCCAGGGGGGATAATATCTAGTAAAATATGCTTCAACAACCTATTTTATATATTCATTAAGATTTGGAGTAGTTGAAAGAGAAAAATTCTACATTTATTATTTTAGGTTGATATTCTAAAATGTCCTTTCAAATAATTTTATTTTTAAACAATTATCCATGGGATGTATATAATATAAAAATTATTGCAAATGTAAGATTACTTCCCATAGACCATTCTGAAAGCTACAGTCATACAGAAATGAATGCACTCATAAGAGAACAATGTTCTTAATTAGGACATGGATGAGTTTTGTAATTCCAACCATTAGAACAATTTTCCGATTTTGGTATCATGAAGAATTAATTATTTTTACATTTTGGAAAATAAGAGAACTCATTTCAAGAGATGGAAAATACTGTGTAATGAAGATGCTTACTGTAGGTAAGTGAAACCAGGAACTGAGCTAATAAAATTATTTATGACTATGAATGAGTCCCCTAATATAGTTCTCCATACAGGCTATTAATCTAATTTATATCACATAGTTAGCTCCCTTCTACTTTTCCCTATCCCACAAAGGAAGGAATGTGCTGGTATAAATTCACAGATGGGGCATGTTCATAACTGCTAGAGCCCTATAGTTTAAAAGGCAGAGCTGAAAGTTAGATATGTGTTCAATAATTCTCTAGTTCTGTTTCTGTCCTTATATTACTATATGTGTTGAAGCAATGGGACTCTTCACCTCTGAGTCACTCAATGCCACTTAGCAATTCAAGTGTGCATGAGGCATGGATGCTGGTGCTGCAGAGGTACCAAGATGATAAAGACCAGCCTTTGCCTGCAGTTTAGTAAAATACATAAGAAGGATGTGGCTGTGCCAAGGCTTCATGGGGAGAACTTACTATAAGGAAAAAAGAGAGAAAGGTGGAGAATGTTGCCATTTTACTCCTGTAAAATCTAAAGAGTCCACAAGATGGAGGAAGGTTGTTATGGAAAAGACATACCACCTATGTGTATTTTCATGTAAACCTCTCAACTAAAGCCCATATGCAAACTTCAGTAAAGTCTACATTTGTGGCAAATTTTATGTGCAAATGGATTCTACCAGACAACATTTGAAAAGGTATTTATTTCCCATTGGCTCACATAAATTCTATGCAAGTCTATTCCATATAAACCAATGTCGTTGAAAGCAAAGAGGGTTGTATGTAATGTCTGGGTTAGAAACTTAAACTAGTGAATGGATTAGCACAAGTACTTCAATTACCACAATATAAGACAGAGGACAGTGTATAATGGGCTTTGTAAAAGATGAGATTATTTTGGTAGAGAGATGAAGAAAAGCATTTCAGAAGAGTTCGTTAATCATATTAATCTTGAAAGGTGAATGAGATTTCAAAATGTAGAAATAGAATTACAGATATTGACAACAAAAAGAGAAAGTTACTGAATGGGAAAACTCAGTCTGTTAAAGAAACCAATGAAGGCATCTAAGGTATAATATATACATGTAGGGGAGCAGTAAGAGATAAAATTAGGGAAGTAGGTTATAACATATCATGGACTAGAGGACCCTAAATGCCAAATTAAATAGTTTTTTTCCCTAGTTTATTTTATTGGAATAAGGATCCCAAGAAAGCGCCTTCTTAAGAGAGCAATTATGCAGAAAGTTTATCTGGCAGTTGTGTGGGTGGAACCAGACGATATAAAGGCAAGAGTTGGAGGAACCCGTTCAGAGACAATAAGGCAGACCATAAATAATGAGGACCTAGAGGTTCACCATAAGTGTGAGGTGCAACTATTTTATTATAGAAAGGGGCAGTAGAAGAAAGAACAAATGAAGTTTTACAGACATATTCACATTATTTTCATGAAATACAAAGTAAGGTCATTTTTTGAGAAGATTAGTATAAAGAGGCTACAATTTCAGAAAAGTAGATCTCAGCCAAGTGAGTTGGTAGAGTGTGGTCTGGTACACTAAAAAGGTCACGGGTTTCATTCCTAATCAGAGCACTTACCTAGGTTTGGGGCTTAATCCCTGGTCTGAGCACATTCGGGAGGCAACTGATCAAATGTTTATCTTGATCATTGATGCTTCTCTCTCTCTTTCGCTCTCTCTCTTCTTTTCTCACTCTCTAAAATAAAATTTAAAAAAAATCCTCAGGTGAGTTTTAAAATAAAAACAAAACAATAGAAAGGTTAATGAATCAATGTCTATGGTAGAATTGGTCTGTCACCCTCACAGGACAGTACCTGTCCTGTTCACTTTGTTTCATTCATACTGTTCCCACTGGAACTGCCCAACTATTCTATTGCAAACTGCTTCCTTGGCGACAGTTGATCAGCCAGACTCAAGTGTAACCAATCAAAGTGTTCACGTAGAATTTCTGAAACTGAGCTGTAAAAGTCTCTGTCTTTCTAGTAATACGGCTTTTAAGAGAGAAACCTGAGTGCCACTTCCTGTTGTCCTTTTATTGTATTTCCCAAGTTTCCCAAAGTATGGAAGACAGAGCAGATGTGATCTGCACAGAAAAAGAAATGAAATCAATTCACAAAAAAGATAACAAACACAAGATGGAGAGAGATGAAATGTAATCTCCTCGCTCCAGTTCTAACAAAGGACCAGTCTTAGTCCTAGCTCCTTCATTTTGTGAGACATCCAGAAAGATTTCAATAAATCCTCCCCATTGCTGAAACTAGTTCAAGTTGGGTTTCTGAGACGTGCCACAAAAGGTTGTAATGAATAAAAATTGTTTCACAGGATTAGCAGTAGAGTTTACTAGGGAGACATCTAACCATTACCAGACACTGTTACGTGGTCCAAATAAAGTTTGAGACAATAAATAGCAATGGTATTTATCTGCTTAGTATGTCCATTTCTGCAGAAGTGTTCTCTAGTCCAAGAATAGTGAAGTAAAGGTCAGCTATTGAAGTGATCAAAAATTGAGCTGTGGTTTGAATTATAAGAAACCCAGTGGAAGTACAATAGGACATGAGGGTTAGTGATATTGACAAACATGATTGACGCTGAGGGTGAAGAGTCTCTCCGAGGGAATGATGTAATCCATTAGTGATATCTGCCCTGACCAGAGGGACAGGAGGCAAGCACAAGTATGATTTTTAATACATTTCTTTTCTTTCTCCTTTCCAGGATCTGGATTTTTACTCTATAACTCTTTTAACAAAACCAAATGAATGTAACTGTCCAAATAAAGATTATGGTAAAGGAAATTACATAATATCCCTATGCAAAACTAAAGAAGCTTTTTTTGAAAACAAAAAACCATGTGATAAAGCTTAAGGGTGAGATACTAGAAGAAACATTCACACAGAAGGAGTGAACATTTTAGTCTTGATGCTATAGAAATTAAAAATTAGGCTAAAAAGAGAACTGTGTACATATCATTGTAAAATATAATGGCAACTGGACATGCCAGCATTTTATTGTTTTCCATGTCTATGCTTCCTATTCTGGAAGATTTTAAAGTGGGAAAGCACCACTGTTGACGCCCCACTCAAATCCCCTCAAACCATCCTACTAGCTTCTTTCCCCATTTTCCGCTGCCTACACCTGCATTCACTGCCTGTGTATTTTATCTGCTGCAAAGCCACTGTGTCCTAGAAACGCCTAAGAGTGAAGGCCCCCGGAGCACCCCACAGCCAATGCCAGAGAGAAGTCTGGTGTACAAACCATCGCAGCCTGTTGTCCCCACCTTGATGTCGTGCTGAAACGCACTCAGATCTCGGTGAAGGCAAAACGGGGTTTCGCTCCGTACTAACCTGCTGGCTCATACAGTTGTGATAGAAAGCCTCTCCTTCCTTGTTTTACGTTCCCACTCTTCACTGGCATTTTCTAAAATATCTTTCAAATAAATAACTTGAACCTGAGTATTTGTTTTAGGGTTTGCTTCTGGGGAAATGCAAACTACAAAAAGATTGGGCTAGAATCAGGAGGGTAGTATTGAAATATCATTCTGGCAGCTCTTTTCCGAGAGTCAGGATTTGGAGAGTTCTGTTCGAGCCCCTGGGCTCAGAAGTGTGGCAGTTCTCTGATTTTAAGTAGTACAGTGGTCTGTAAGATGATTGAGATATTAAGAATAATTAAAAAAATTGAACCAGGTGTGAGAAGAGGAACTAAAATTTAATATTCTATAAAAATATAAATAAAAAGAGGGTGGGTGCAGATGGAATGAGCAAAGTGGATCAAATATATGGTGCCGGGAGACTAGAGGTCATTGTGATGGGCCCACAATGGAGCATAGAGATGCTGTATTATTAAGAGGTATACCTGAAACTTATATAAATGTCACCCCAATAAAATGTAATTAAAAGTAATAATATATATGAACAACTTTAAAAAAAGAAATTCTAAACAAAAAAGAACATTTAAAAACCTATGAATGCGGGTTCCTGGTCGTTGATGTGATAGCACCTGGTTGTTAAAGTCTGTTGTGGTATCTTGAGTGTGAAGTGAATCAAACCATTTTTAAGTACTGGGGGAAGATGTATGAATAGATCAGCAATTCATATATGTGTTAAAATAATCCTTACCTAGTTATTAAAATTTGTCTCCTTAAAACTTCTGCCAAAAACATCAGGGTGTTCAATTCTCTGAAATGGAAAGCACTATTTCAATCACTTTTTAAAAATCCATCATGTGTAGCATCGCAAATATAGCTAATAATACTGTATTTCATATTTGAAAGTTGGTAAGATTATAAATCTTAAAAGTTTTTATCCCAAGAAAAAGACCTATAACTATGCATGCTGGTGAATGTTTACTAGTCTTATTGTTGTGATCATTTCCCTATATATACAGATATCAGTTATTATGTTGTGCACCTGTAACTAACAGAATGTATGTCAGTTTGACTTCAAATAATTAATAATTGAAACACTTATTCTTATTAGTCTTTTCTTATGCCATTTAGTTAAATTCAGATATTTATGTACAATAAAATCTGAGGAATTCTTACCCCATCTTTCACATGTTTGTATATTTTCAAAGAGAAATATAAATTTCATTATTGCCATCTTTTTCCTGCATAAAACCGTATCTATTTTCTCTGACCCAAGGAGATAAGTGCAAGGAGGCTGAGATGATACCAACTTTAAAGATCAAAATAGGAGTCAGAAAAGTATATGCTCACATCACACTGCCAGGAGCTAGAAGAAATGGTTTACAAAACCAAGTGTTCTGTTATAAAGTTCCCTGCTTTTTCCAGGGAACTGATTATTAATTTTAACGTATTCATTTAGCAACAATTATTTGTATTAAAATGAAATATGCATTATAAATACCCACATGTGGTCTGTTGAAAGGGAAAACTAAGTACAATATACATGAATATTTTCATTTTTTAAATAAAACCCTACATTTATACTGTGAACTAATTCAGAAAATGTAGTAACTTTATTCTATAATGTGGAGTTATGCTACATACATAAGTGACGCTTGGATAGTATGTTGTCAAAATTTTAAGGAAAGAAAACAACTGCAACACTATATTCCTGCCTGAGATTCCGATGCTTATTGATGGAACCTTTGACTTGTAGCAGCTGGGGTGGTGGTGGTTTTCGTGATAACTAACATTGATTGAATACTTATGAACTCTGTGCCAGCTGCATGCTAAATGCTTTAAATGCTGTCTCAATCATTATTAACAATTTACAGAAGAAGAAACTTCGTTATGAGGAGTCAGGCATCTTGCCCCAGAGCACGCCAATCAGAAGCTGGAGAGCTGAGATATAAGCCCAAATGTGCTTGACTAGATTCTTGACTATAGTCTGTGCTCCTAACCATGACCTGTGTGATCTCCACCGAAGGCGCATCACTTTTCCTTCTCCAAGTCCAGGTTTAAAAGCAAAGCTCCCATTTAATGAAAATGAACACAGACTAGCGTAAAGCTATAGGACAGAAGATAACAAAAGATTATTAGTCACTTTAATATTTTAATTTTAACACGAACACTCTTGGAGATGGCTAAACATTCTACCTTTTACACGAGATCATTGAGATCACTTAACAAAATTGAGAGATGTGTCCGGAGAAATCACACAGCAAGTAGGAGGCAGAAGCCACAGACGCAGGCTCTTTGACTTCATGTGATTGCTCCTTCTGTGGCACCAGGTGGGCATTTTAGAGCATAAACTTCACCTTGAATATTTTTGTTTTGTTTCATAGTACCTAAGTTTACTGATATTCCAACTCTTGCAATACATTAAATATTATTTTACATTTCCTTCTGAAATACTCAACCAATCTAATTTAGTGTTATTTTCCTAGCAAAGAAAGAAGATGCTAGTCAAAGTCCAAGTCATTGCCTTCCAAGTGACCCCAAACAAAAGGAGAGGGGAAAGAAAGAGTGTACGACCCTGTGGGTTCATTTCTCTTGCTCAGCTATAGCATAGAAACTGTCATCCTCTCTTAAAAGGAAGAGAATACAAATACGAAACATGAAACTTTGAATAACAAATAAAAGTGATAATTGCAAAAGCAGCAACAATGTCAGGTTATGTAACTGGGACTAAAAGTGGTCATATGTGCATGTGCCCTCGAAGTGTAGCTTGGGGTGGATTTTGAGGAAACCCAACATGCTAATGCTGGGAAAGTCTTGAGGAAAGACTAGGGATGTAGTATAAATTGCCCAATAGTGACAAGAAAAATATCAAGAAATATAATATTTGGTATAGGAGAAGAGGTGGAGGAGAATCTATAAATTGGCAGAGTTTTCAGAAGATGTGGTATCTCAACTATCAGAAAACAGTAACAAAATAAAGCTTCTTTAACTGCTTGAAGGGAAAGCTTAATAGCTGAGCGTAAGTTGATCATTATAAGAAAACTTGCAATAGAACTAACAAATAAAACTTGTTTAATTTTATTTTTTAATTACAGTTTACGTTCAATATTCTGTATTAGTTTCAGGTGTATAGCATAGTTAGACAATCATATACTTTACAAAGTGATCCCCCTGAGAAGTCTAGGATCTACCTAGAACCATACAAAGTTATTACAATAGTATTGGCTACATGTTTTATGCTGTACTTTACATTCCTGTGACTATTTTGCGACCACCAATTTGTAGTTCTCAATTCTCTCATGCTTTTACCCGGTCCCCCCACACCCTGCCCTCTGAGGACCATGTCTACTCTCTGCATCTGCGTCTGCCTCTACCCTTTCTGTCTGCTTTAACAAAACAAACTGATATACACAAACTTATACAGACTTGATTTGTATGAGAATGATGAAAAACAAAAATATAGAAAAAAATAAATCAAAAAGTGAATGAGATAGAAAGATAATTTTAGAAATTTCACTTTTATTCTGACATTCTAATTTGAGATTAGACATTTAAGAAAAACAACTTATATAGAAGTATTGTTAGAAAGAAATAAACTACATAATGCAAACACATTTTTATCTTCTCAGCTACATCATTGTTTCACATTGTTAATGTGAAACCAAATGTAGAGCCAGTAATGGATTCACTGTGAAAAAAAAGGGAGAACAACCTGAAAACAAGAGTGATGCTCTAGAAGAGGACTTTAAAAAAAAAATCTTTATTGTTGAGAGTATTACAGATGTCCCTCTTTTTCCCCCCTTTGCCCCCCAGGCTTCCTACACCATTTTCTATCAATGTACAAACATAAAATTTATAAAACTGTATCTCTGTTAATGCTTGCTTTGTCATTTTTTCCAGACAATTGGGCAACAGAAATGTCATTTGATCCACGCTTAAGTTCTTGAGAGAACCAGAAACATAATGGGCTCCAACACACCTTAAACTGCTGGCATCATGAGCACTTCCTGCCTAATTCTGTTGGACAACAGAGACAAAGCAAGCCCTGTAATTACATCCCAGCCTGATCTATGCTTGCAGTCATGTAATTAATACTTCCTCTGTAAAGCAATGGAATAATTTAAAGAGCAGATATTTTTCAACCATGGTCTGAAAAAAAAACCCTAAGAGGAGAATACATGTGCATTTTAGCTATGTGCAGACACTTCTGGGATTCCATTTGCTAAGAGAAATTGTAACTAGAGTCTCAGAGCTTTCATTGTACCAGGAGATGAAAATGATCCTTCCTTCCTGCTCATGGCTATAGTGGGGGGTAGAATAGAGAGTGACTGGAGCCTATATTTATTCCATGAGGGTTTATGAAAATGGTAAACATAATCTCAGTTCCTGGCTACCTGAGCCACCCTAGTGTGGTGCCAACCACATTTGCAGAGCCTCAGACAGGAAATCGGTGTAGAAATCTGGCTCCAGAGGTTAGACCTTAACTTACACAGCAGAAACAAAACACTGCACTCCAGCAAATCTATACTGACTTCCCAATCCATTCCTTGTTTCTAATGTCCATTTGTAGAGAGGTATTCACAATCATGAATGTAGATCCTACGAGAGACAAAAAAAAAAGTTTTGTAACCGAAAAGCAAAAGAAAAGTAAGAGTAAGAATGTAAACTAACAATATAGATTTTACCAAGAAGCTCCCTTTTCAACAATAGTTGCTGTTTTAAATAATTTTTTATTATATTCTTTTAAATGATTTGCATAATTGCCCAGGAAAAAAAATCTATATTTTCAAAGTCCCTCTCCATCCCCATCAAATCCAAAACAAATTTCATCTTTGTCTACTTCTTGTCAAATCTTTTTATTTAATATTTAGACTACACATGAGTGGTTCCAGGATACACACAGGACAAATGAGAAGCCTGTTCTCTTCTTCCTGAAACACTCTCTCCCCTTACTCTTTGTAACACTAAACAGACTTATTCTTGACAACAATAATATTTCTAGGAGGAAGTCTTCCCTGGTCACTTCTATTTTTCTGTCATATCAACCTGTTTATATTCTACACAATACCTCACAGTCTCTGAACTTTTTAAAAATTTGTTTGGTCTTCTATTTTAAAAAATACCATAAAGTGGGTGACTTAAACAATAGAAATTACCTGACTTGCTGCTTTCTGGATCTTCACTTACTTTTCCTATAAGACCATTAATTCTATTATGTAAACCCTACCTTCATGACCTAGTCTCACCCTAATTATCTTCCAAAGGCCCCATCTTCAAATACTATCACGTTGGAAGTTTGGGGTTTCAGCACATGAGTTTTGGTGGGACACAAACATTCGGTCCATAGCAGTAGTATTCCAGATGTGGGTCCCCTCAACAGGGTAGAAACAACAGCAAGAATAAATTGCTAGATTATTTGACTTGATTGCCTTATAGCTCTCACAGAGGTAACCTGTTTTCTTGTAACAGCAGAATGTAGTTCACAACTACTAGTAACTAATGCTCATTTTCAGAGCAACTTGACTTATGCATCTTCATTCTGATAGCTTGATTGGTTGCATTTTATATTCATAAATGCAATTGATTGAATCATAAATTATAGAAGCTCTTAATGTTGATCTAAGAATTATACCAAGAAAAACATTTAAAAAAATCAAAGATTATATATGAGTCTGTATGAATATTTAAAGGCAATAAGCCAGATTTTTATTCTGTGAAACACAAAATAAAATTCTTAACAGAAGAATAGAATGAGTGATAGGATGCATCCAAATACACCACTTTTTTGGCACAGTGATTCCAAACTCACAAGTAAATAGTCCCTTATTTTTTGGGCAAGTCTATAGAAGAGAGAGCCCCTCTCTATTGGATATCACTTCACTTTTCCATTAGAAAAACTCAAATGGGGATTTTTAATACACTTTTGGCTTAGGTACTCTGAAATTATTAAATTTCAGATATGTTCCAATTTGCAAGAACTGGAAACACAAAATAGGCCAATGGCCCAAGTCCAAGTAGACTCAATTTTCCAGAATCAAAAGCTAAAGCATAGAAATGGTAAGAAAACTCTCATAAAAATTACCAAGAGTAAGTAATATATAAACTGGACATTTTCTTCACCCAACTCATCATATTTCACTTCCTTTCATTACCAGTCTTATCTCACAAATTGAATCCACTTTAAAATGATCAAAAACTTTTTTTCTGAAAGTGTGCTAGATTGACTACGGATTGTGCCCACATGCACAGTGCAAAATGACTCATTGCATTAGCCTCATTGTGCCGTGTGAACAGATTGATATATATAGGAGTCATTAATGACATATCCATTCATTTGACATTTTCTGGAGGGACACAAGCTATGTACAAAGCACTGTACTACCAACAATGTTCAAATACTAGTTTAGAAACAAGTACAGGTTAAAGTGGGAGTGTTTGCCCAGAGATTATTTTGAGGACTCAGAAGTTAAATTCTTCACTTTAAAACCAGAGACAGTCCTACCCTTGCCGGTTTGGCTCAGCAGTTAGAGTATCAGCCTGCGGTCCAGAGAGACCTGGGTTTGGTTCCCGCTAAAGCCATGTACCTCGGTTGCAGTTTGTCCCCGGCCCTGGTTGGGTGGTGCGGGTGGCAGCCCCTTTCACGTCGATGTTTCTCTCTTTCTCCTTCCCACTCTATCTGAACAAAAAGAAAAAGAAAAAATGTCCTCAGGTGAGGATTAAAAAAAAAAAAAAAAAGCAGAGACAGTCCTCTGAAGTAAACAAGCAAATGCTCTCCAGCGAGAGAGAGAGAAATGCGCAGCCTTCGCTAGGCTCTGTAGCCAATCCTACAGAGGCAAATTTGGATAAAAGGGCCATGCCACGGTGGTAGGAGTCTCACCAAGGCCTATATAGATCATCTTGTTCTGCTTCTCCCATTTACTAGGTCAAACCATAGGACTACCACAGGAAGTACACTGATTCCATATCATAACATTCAATATTTTCTCTTCTCTAACTTTCCATAGCAATATTCTTTTGCTTACCTTTCTAATTCTTAGGTCAATTTATTTGACCTCCTCTATGGCATATTCTTGCAGTTCACTTTTTAACTACTGAGGTTCCCCACTCTAAGAATCTCATCATGTAGCCCAGATCTTCAACTTCTATATGTCCTCTGAGTTCCAGATCCAAATATCCAACTTCTTACCAGAAGCTCCTTTGGCATGTCCCATGGGTACTAAAAATAAGTGTAACAAAAACCAGAGTCATAGTCTGTACCTTCAGAACCTGCTAACTCCTCTACTTCCCCTGCTCTGTCAATAATACCACCAACCATGCAGAAAAACACTAAACCCGAAATCTGAGAGATGCTGGACTTCTTTTCTTTTTCCAAAGAGAGGTCAGGTACTATGGATTATACTTCTCCTTCATCCTTCAGAGGCCTTAGTTTAAGCTTCACTGTTATTTTTTGTCAGTTTGTTAACCCTCACTCTAGGATACATTTCCATTAATTTTAGACAGAGTAGATGGGAGAAAGGGAGAGAGAGAGAAAGATTCATCTGAGAGAGACACAATGATTGATTGCCTCCCACACAACTCTGACGAGGGCTGGGGATCAAACCTGCAACCGAAGCACATGCCCTTGACTGAGAATCGAACCTGAGACCCTTCAGTCCGAGGGCCAATACTCTAACTACTGAGCCAAATCAGTCAGGGCTCACTGTTATTTTTTATTTTTTTTTTTTGAAACAATATTTGTTTGCCATCAATGACTTGTTAGACATTATATTTACTGAATAATTTTTCAAGTGTTACACTGGGAGAAACAGACAAGCAAATGTGAAATCATATAATAACTTTAAGTAGTATTTCTTTCTTAAACTCTCCTTAGCTTTCTAGTTTACCCTTAAACTCTCTCTAGACTTCCATTTTATCCTTGACATCGTCACAGTCTTCTCATCATGGCTTTCTCCAATCTACTGAAAAACCTCTATTTATCCCTATAATCTACAAATTAGCAGTAGAGTTCAGAAAGGGATTTAAATGAATCTAAATTAAATTCATTTAAATTTCCAACAATGATATTAAATTTTATCTAAGAAAACTAAGGTACAAGTAAATTGAAGTTCCTTTGGAGCTTAAACAAAAGAGCAGGGATGCCAAAGCTATCCGTGAACCAATTTCAGAAAATAGGGAGATTGGAGTGTGTCAAAAGAAGGAAAGCTGAATCAGAGTAAACGTCAGTAAGCAAAACAGGAAAGCAGCACTCTGGGGGAAATTAAAGACTTAGAAGCGTTGCATTTGATTAAAAAAAAATAAGTCCAGAAAACAGGAAAATTATTATGAGAGGCCAGAGTGACATCATCAGTGTTCAGCAGCTGCTAACATCTTCCTTCGGAAGACTGGTAATCTGCCCAATAGGCATGTTCCTCAGTTCTGCCCTGATTTGCACTCATCAAAAAATATTCTGCACAGCCATTATACTGAAAAAGACAGTCTTAACTGTAGAATTATAAACAGAGGTTACTGGGCTACCCAACAGGTTCTATTTTCCAGTTTTCTGGCTGCTGGCTAAAACCAAGTGATTAGTGAGGGTCTCCAAAAAGGCAAACACAGGTCTTTGGAGCTCTAAGTATCCTTAAACCTTTATAGTAAGCATCTGTATCTTCTGTATGTCATTCAGTATTATAATGACATATTTTATTTACCTCCTCTATTAAATATAAGTTGTACTATGTCAGAGACTTTGTGTTTATATCAACATAGAGCTGAGAACACTTCTTTTTACAATGAAGGCCCTTAGAAAGGGTGTTAAAATGAGAGGAAATTTGAAGTTGGATTATAAGAGCTTATTTTACAGACAATAATGAACTGGATTTGTGTAGAGAAATAGGCAAAATTTATTTTACAGCTTGGTAATTCTATGAAGACATTCAAAATCACTGGGATTATTTAGGTCTACAGGAGATAAACTGAGTAATCAAGCCTCATATGTAAACTTATTTCATCAACTGCCTTTCTTACTCCTTAAAGAATGCCTAAGTTTCAAAGCCTAAAAGACTTCTAAGCATCTCAATAGAGTAAACAGTTTTACTTTGGCTATTCTTTTCTTTAAAAGTTAATCAAAATCGATATTAAATAGTTTATGAAGATATCTGGATTTGGATATAGACCATGTTTGCAAGTTTGCCTTTATTCAAGTGGATATCTCTCCAAATGAGACCTGTGAAATAAGTCAAAAATTGCACTTATTTGAAATATTTTGGTGATAATTAAGGATACTCGATAAGAACAAATTTTAAAGGAGCTTTTTTATTGGAAAGATATTGGGATATCTTGCAGAACAACCAAGCTACAAGTAGAGAACCAAAAACTCAAATAATTATTTTTCTTTTTAACTTGATCTTTATTGTTGACTGTATTACAGATGTGCCACTTCTGTTCCCCTCTTGACCCTCCCCCCCACTCCTGCCTCCCTCCTGCCTTCCCCACACTAGTGTCTGTGTCCATTGGTTATGCCTATATGCATATACATTTCTTACTTTATCTCTTCCTGCCCCACCTCCCCCTCCTTCCCTTTGAGGTTCCTCAGTCTAACCAATTTGTACTTCTTAATCCTTTCACCTTTTCACCCATCTCCCAACCCCCCCAAATTCAAATAATTTGAATGTCATCAGGACTAGCCATTTCTCCCTTCCCCCTTTCCTTCCATTTCATTCTTCTCTCCTTTTCTCTCTCTTCCTCTTTTTCTCTACTGACCCACTCCCCAGAAAACTAACCTTGTTCTTGTAGCCAATGAGGCATGGAAAGTGTCTATTTACAAAAGTTGATTTCTTTTTTCATATATTAAAACTTTAGCAACAATACATGCACATGATAACAAATATATACTTCATAAAGAATGCACTGAGGCCCAGACTGTGTGACTCAGTGGTTGAGCATCAATCCATGCATCAAGAGGTCACTGGTTCAATTCTTCATCAGGGCACATGCCAGTTGAGGACCTGGACCCCCCCGGGGGGGGGGCATGCAGAGGCAGCCTATCGATGTTCTCTCTCATTGATGTTTCTATCTCTCTCTCCCTCTTCCTTCCTCTTTCTCTGAAATCAATGAAAAATAAATAATAAAAGTGAAAAAAAAGAATGCACTGGCAAACTCGAATCATGTCATAACTAGACCAACCAGAGGACAAGGGAATGAGGTATCATAACTTTTCCAGTTTGAAATTAATCAACTATTATGTAGTAAATGGCATCTCTAGGACAATGAAGTGGGATAAGGTATTGTTCCCGTTGAAAAGGCAGGGCTACTGGGTAGACAAAAGTTCTATATTTTGGAAAGAAAATATTTACCAGATATTTGTCAATGTTTTTTAAAAAGCAGATTTTTAAAAATAATTAAATGTGGCACCCACATGTTCAGATGTTATATACATTTGTATTCAGTAACTTGAGCATAAATTTCAACAGTCCCTCCTGTGAATCAAGTCCAGGCTGCTTCACAGCCCTTCTGTCTTGTTTTATTTCTATTGTTATTTATGTAATGTTCCCAGCTCTGCAATAAAACATTAAACAGTGGTATTTAACTTCTTTGTGTGAAGTAATTTTTTGTCAAAATGTTTTTAATAAGTAGTGGTTTTCTTTAAAGTAAATGGGATGTTCGCAGCATTAGATTTATATTGACCTTTATGAATGAGAATAATTTTCTCCATTTATTGGTTAGAATAGTGCTTCAAAAGAGTAGTAATATAGCAGCTCTGTACTTAATAAGATACTGGCCTCATTTAAGAATAATTTTTAAAGTACAGTTATGTTAAAATTCCATCCAAATTCTGTAGAATTTGTACTAATCATTTCACCAAAATTATAAATAAAATAATATATATTGGAATAAGACTTTTTTAAAAATCCATACAAAGGAATATTACATTTCTCTATCATATTAACATGGATTTTAGCATAATCATTATAATCCTCAAATATTCAAAAATTAAATAAAGCATCACCATATAAACAATGGTTATAAACAAATTAAATGTTGACTTAAAAGTAATATTTCCTCTTGTGTTCATAAAGCTTGCACTAAAAAATTATACTGCTTTCAATCATTTTCCTTAATTATTGTGAAGGAGGAAGAAAGTTATTTGGTTCAATTCCATGAGCCTCTAAGTGGACTTTTTGAGGAGAAAAAGTCATGAAATTCTTTGATTCTCTATCAGAAGAACACTCTCTACCTCAGACTCCATCCCAAGCTGGCCTACCTAATAAGAAAAAAGGGAGATTCGGAATAAGGCAGGAATTTTCTGTCTAGGTCTTTCTTTCTCTATATTTTAGACAGAGTGCAGTTCAAGGGCTACTAGTGGATGATTCCTAACATAATACACTGACTAAAGAGAGACCTCCATGCAAGCTACCCACTATACACCCTGTAGGTTGTTAGACACCTTTGCCTAATAAACTTTCATTGACAATCAAAAGGATCTTTCCAAAAGCTACACTGCAGGGTTAAAGAGTTTTAACCATTCCATCTTCTTTATCAAACTTATAAGAAATAGGAGGTAGGAGGAAATTAAAAAGAAAGTGCAAAAGAAAACCTCACTTTTCTCATCAGAACCATGTCAAAGTGTATTGTTGAAATACTTAGAAAAGATGATGATAATGATGATGAAAGATCGATGATAGATCAATGATAGATAGATGATAGATGATAGATGATAGATAGATAGATAGATAGATAGATAGATAGATAGATAGATAGAAACAAAAATATGAAGGGCAGACAAAGTGTAGGGTAGGTGAAAACAAAACCCATTTATCATGGATAATATGAAAATAAAGGAGAAGGCAGTGTGTAGATTTAGTCAAACTAATATTATTCACAAGCCAGTGTGGATATATTGATTCAGGTCATAAATGCCATGGGGAAAGAACAGGAGTAAACGATATATAATTTAGCTTGTTATTGGTAAAGCATAAACAGTATTGTCTTTTTTAAATAATTATATTGTCCATCTCATGTGAGGAAGTTTTGACAGTCTTCTATTTTTTTAAATTTGATTTCAGTTTAGTTTTTAGTATCCAATAAGCCCTCTTTAAGTAGATCAACTTATACGTTTTCATCCATTATCTCATCTGATATAGTCTGTGTCATTGTGGTGCACATAACATTATGAAATGAGAAGAAAGACTAAAATGAGTTAAGTTTTAAAATGTGAACATGAATTATGATTTTCTTTTTTCAAGTAAAATCTTGATGAGTAACTGTCAAAACAATACATTGAAATACAAGAAAGACTGTCAAATTAAAAGCAAATTGGTATAATAAATGGAGAAAATAGAGTATGGCGTGAATACTGGGAAGAATAAAAAGCAAAGAAGATAAGTTTTAATACATCATCCACTTAATTTTAACAACAGGAAAAAAAAACTGATCAGAAATGTATGTGGGAATAAGGAGATTTCTTTTAAGGCCTCTATAATAGCTCTCTTGAGAAATAGTTTCAAATTTGTTTATATTGTTTTTTTTATTTTAGATGGGTGTTGATCATCCTCTAGGGAATAAATCCTCACCCACAAAGATAAATTATTTTTACCAGGCAATTAAATCTTGCCTTTATCACAGAATATTATTTTCTAAATCCCTCTATTTGTGCTCATTTATTTACCACACATGATGGCAGATTTAAACCTAATGGGGTATTTTCTTTTTCCTTTTTTTCTTTTTTAATCACCTAATACCATTTATTTTCTTAGCATTCAGGAGCGGCATTTAGCATTGTTATACACAATCTTTGATATTTCTAACAGAGTATTCTCTATTGAAAAATTTTCCTAAAGGTAAAAGTGTTCATTATTTCTCAACTTCCTAATAATTCTCCCTATTGATACCTTTTCTGCCTCATTTGATAAGAAAGGTGGTTATATATAAATGCTTAGCAAGTCACTGATATATAGTATACTATTTAAGTAAGTCACTCTATTTGTAAAAGTCCAAAAGCATGTACACCTAATACTATGTCCTGATTGCCCATCCCAGGCTGAATTTTGTTTCATTTTTATAGATGAGAGACTTACAAAATCCCTTTCAATAACTACTTCCTGAGAAACCCAGCCTTGCATATCCATGATTTAAGTGTTTAGTCAAATCATTTCCTCTAATATGAAGAACTGCTGAAGGCAATGCAATCCAGCTCAGCAATTCTACCTTTCATAGGAGTCAACATTCTGAATGTATTTGTGACATTAAGAAAGGAAATAGAGACTATCAATCAGACTTTCAGATCCTGTTTTAATCAGAACACATTCAGGAAACAGTCTGAAAAGCCAGAACTTTCAATGCCCCTGTTCAAGAAGTATTTTTTCTAACTGATTTGCAGCCCACAGAAGAGGAACAAATACTGGCGATGCTTTCTATTTAATTTGGTATAAGTTCATAAAACAAATTGCCCAGATAATTGGACATGTCTTCAATTCTACACTACATTTTCCATAGATGTAAACCAGATTTATAACTTAGAAGTGCAGCAATAAATGAGCCTAGCTTGTAATACACCTGTGCCAAGTCTTATGTCAAAGTGAAATAAAAAATGAGACTGACCACTTTGAGTAATCAAATCTGTCAGTTCAGTTAACTCCTTCTAGAGTATTGATGAGAAACACTAAGGTCTGAAAACAAAGAGGTTAATTATTTCTACTTGTACAAATATACACAAGCAAGAAATAAATATTTTAAGTAGATTCCTTAAAAATAAACTTATCATCTTAATCCTGCAAATTATTTTTTTCTGTTATTCCTTTCCTCCCTTCTTTCGGAGAATTTAAAACTCACTCACATATGGAAACTACTATCTTGAAGCTAAATTCCCATTTTCCTTTGAGGAGTTTTTCCAGCTTAAATCAGAGTTGGCAATTATGCTTTTCTGGACTGGACCATCTGGTCACCATTCGTCTTGTCCCTGGAACAATATAAAGGAAATATAAGGTGGTTTTTAGGCACATCTGTTAGCCCTGTGATAACTAAATAAATCCAGTTAGTATAAGCCAACGTTTAAACCTAAAGGTGTCCTCTAATTGAATTCTTCCTTTTCATGGTCAAGAAAAGGGGAGGACATTAATGGGAATACAATGAGGAAAGCAGAATTTTCATCTGCAAAGACTTTCCTAAGTCTACTTACTTCTTCAGGCTATTTGCAAAGGCAATGTTCCAGAGAAAGTAAGTTTAAGTAATACCTGTTTCCAGGAACAGAAAGGTAGACATACAAATATGAAGAGATCAATTGATATTAGTAATACATTTCCAGGATTAAAAAGAAGAAGAAGAAAGGCTTATTTATTTTAGAGGAATAAACTATTCCTCCCCACCCCACCCCCCAAAAAAAAAATCTCTGCTGGTATTTGTATTCAAGTGAATTATTTTACTCTCCATTATGAAAGTATCCAATTTACTCAAAACAAATTCACTATCTTTACTCTGATTTTCCTCTCCTTATCTGAGTAATAAAAACATCATTCTCCATTTGGCCAAACTAGAACCCAGATAATCACTCCTGGCTTTTTTCTACCTTCTCTTCAAGTCTAATTAGTGACGAAGACCTGATAGCTCTAACTGTTCAATATTTCTCAAAGCTACTCTTTTCTCTTTTATTACCATTGCTACTCATTATTCTCTATGCCTAAATGTTCATTGTTTTCCAGTTCACCCTTTAAGGTGCTATCAGAGATCTTTCCAAGGGTAAATCCAATCATGGCACTTTCCCTCTTAAAATCTTTAAGTGTCTCCCCAGTACCTAAACACTAAAGTACTAATTCCTTTTTGTAGCATATGTAAGACCCTTTGCTTTTCTTTTATCTCCTCCCCTACCATTTTCTTTTTTTTTTTTTTTACCCTCAACTGAGGACATTTTTCCATTTTTTGTTCAGGTAGAGTGGGAAGGAGAGAGAGGAAGAGAGAGACAGAGAGAGAGAGAGAGAGAGAAACAGCGACGTGAAAGGGACACATCTAGTGGCTACCACCCACACGACCAACCAGGGCCAGAGACAAACTGCAACTGAGGTACGCGCCCTTAGAGGGAATCAAACCCAGGTCTCTCTGGACCGCAGGCTGATGCTTTAACTGCTGAGCCAAACCGGCCAGGGCTCTGCTACCATATTCTGAAATTCTACAAAATTTATGCTGCCGTTTCCACAACAATCCATGCCCTTTCATGATCTGGCTTGTTGCGCTAATGCTTCTACCTGAAATAATGCCTCCACTGACTTATTGAGAACTTCATCATACTTAGATGGAAATCCAGTATAACTTCTGAAAACTTTCTTTACTCTCAACACTTAACATCCCGTCTCTATATGATATATACACTCCACTATGTTCATTGCAGCATTATTCAAGGTGGCCAAGACCCAGAAACACCAAAGTGTCCTTCAGTAGATGATTGAATAAAGATGCGGTACATATACACCAAGAAATACTATCCAGCCATAAGGAAAGATGATATATTGCAATTTCAACAACATGGGTGGATCTTGAGAATATCATTGCTAAGAGAAATAAGTCAGACTGAAATAGTCAAGAACCATAATATTCCACTCATATGTGAGATATAAAACTGAAAGCCACAAATAAACAAACAAGAAAATCAAACAAAAACTCATAAACACTGAAAGCAGTATGGTGGTTACCACAGGGAAGAGGGTAATAAAAAATAAAGGGGTTCAAATATAAGGTGATGGAAGATTTGACTTTGGGTGGTGGGCACACAATGCAATGTGTATCAGAATTGTACATTTAAAACTATAAACAGAATCTTTGAAAAAAACAAACACATCACATAGCACTTAATTCTATTATTGTATGTTCTTGTATCTGCCTTCTCCAACTGCCTGAGCTCCGGAAGAGTAAAAACCATGTGTTTTTCTTCTTCAATGTCCTGGTACTCAGCTGACAGTAAACACTTAGTAATTTTTCATAAAGTAAATGACCAGAGCAATGAATGGATGATGGATATATAACTTTCCAAGGCAGTAACATCTGTGTTTCAATTCTGGTAAACATTATGAATTTTTACCATCTTAGGTTAAATGAAATTTTAAAATTGGACCAATTTTGACAAATTATTAAAGAGCATTAGGTATTGTTGAGGTTCAGTTCATGAGTCCACACAACTAAATAGTCCCACTAATTTTTTAACTGGCATAAAAAAAAAATTTTTTTTTTCCTTAGAATTGGTTCTGCATTGCACTGTTTGCTTAGGTTTTTGTGCAATGCTTTTATTTTCTATTTTAATTTGTTTACTGTGCTTTCTCTCTTGGCTTTAAATTTTAGCATTAGATGAAACTGTTAATATATCTTTCATTTTAAAATAATTTATCTAATGGAATTACATTCCATTAAGCATTAAATAATTATCTTTCTATGCTAATTTAAGAGTGCATGTTTGGAAATAGAACGAAGGGAAAAGAAACATGAATAGTTTTCACTTTTATTTTGACTTCCTTAATTTCAGAACATCACTACCCTTCCTTTCCTGCCACCATTTCTTTTTCTTTTTGCCATGCTTTCATTTTTGTTCTATGCAACAAGAATGAGAATGTTTCTCTTTTCTGAGGGACAAGTGGCGTAAATAAACTTTTTTAGGAAAAAAGAATTCATGTAAATTATTTTGAAGACATTAATATAATTTGAAGTGCTCATTAGGAGAAAGTCTATTTGGAAAAATGAAACTTTTTTCTAACCTCGTATGTTAAAAAAAAATTTTTTTTTATGTTGACTGAGGCCTTATTCAGGCACATATCTCATTAACTTGAATAGCGGAGGTTAGCCCTCAGGGGAACTCTGTTACCTTCTTCAATTTCTTTGGCTGTATAGAGGTCTCCCATAAAAACCACTCACTGACGTGGACTATTTTAAGTCATATAGAAATTACTCAAACCTCAGAATTACATTGCACAAGAATGGGGGCAGTTTTTCATCCTAATTTACATGTAGTTTATTCTTTTCTACTAACAAACAGGTTTTAAGTCATACTGACATCCCTATATACAATTTTTTCATCTTTTTGCCTTTTTAACATTTACTATGATGTCTCCTTCTTTGACAAAACATTTGTTTACTCTTTGAAATTATTAAATGTTTAATCAAGTTCTTGAAAATGAGAAGCACTCTGTTTATTTTGTTTTTTCCATTTCAGTTCATGTTTCTTCTAGAGCAACTCACTCCGACTAATTGTCCTCACAAACAGTGCACTGTTTCTAATCAGAATTCACATTAGAACTCCACATCCACTCTTACTGGTGGCAAGACTGATTTCTTTCACTCTCTCACCTCACATATGAAGGTTATTACAAAGTTGATGAGGATAATCAAGTCATACTGGAAAGAATGTTTTGGACCGTGAACATGCAGCTGCACTGAGGAGATATTTTGGCACTTCCAGCATTATAAAAGTTCGAATGATTAATAAGACGAAGCATGGAATTGATCTATTGAGAATTCTGTATTCCCTTCATGGTTATTAAGAGATGTGTGAAGCACATTAAAATAGATGTAGATTATTTGTTACTAAGGGGATTCATGATTCAATTTTATCACCTCTGGAAATGTATGTTGGATTTTCTTTACTTTTTTCATTTTACAAAACATTAGAAGTTGTGACTTTCATGCTTAGAATGGTGTTAATTAATGCTGTATATTAAGAGGTTATATCAAAAAAGTATATATTCCAAGCTCTCTAGATTGTACACAAAGCCAACACATGCTTACCTCTGTTTCGTATGACACCCTACTAAAATAATGAAGTAGTTTTAGCTGTCGACTGATGGAGACACACTGGTTGACAAGCCCATAAGTTTCTAATCAGATGTTTAGTGACTCATTCTTAAATATTTATGGGCAGCTGAGGATTCCCCAGATAGTTAAAGAAAGCCTCTAACAGTAAAGACAGAGACCAAACAAGCAGAAATAACTAATTTGAAGAAAATAGAGTAATGGAAGTAGAATAAATGTGTGAGTGTCTGTGTTTAACATTGCCTCCCAGAGATAGGAAATTGTGCATTCGTGAAAATGACACCATATTAAAAATAAATAAATATAAAAATTTTATAAATAAAATTTTTTTAAGCTAGAAATAATTAAACTCAGAAAGGAAGGCATGTCAAAAGCAAGAAGCACCAAAAACTAGGCCTCTGTGCAAAATTGTGAATGCAAAGGAAAGGTAATAATAAATAAACAACTGGATAAATATCCAGACGGTAAAGAAAACTTGTGGAAATTAGAAATATGACAGCAGAGATGAAGAAAAAGATCAACTAGAAACTATTGAATTTTAACTTAAGAAAATGTTTAAGAAATTATAATAAAATGTCTTAGAAAATTAAGTAGAAGGAATTAAGTAGAATACCCATCTTAGAGATTCATTATCTAAATGATAGAAAAGAAAACAAAAGAAATTATGGTAAGATTATCAAGGAAATAACTAAACAAAATGTTCTATATCTGAAGTTCAGAGTGAAAAGTCCATAAAATGTCTAACACAGTGTGAAAGACCCATACCAATGCATGCTACTTTAAAATGTTGAACACAGGAGCAAAACTTCCAAAGAGAAAAAACAACAACAAAATGGCATCAAAGTTGCAAGCAGCAACACTAGACAAACAAAGAAACCAATAAGTACAATAATGACTTCAAAATTATGAGTGATTGTTATTGCTACCCTATATTTTTACAGCAGCTAAATGGAATAAAGACATTTCATATTTACAAAGTACCACAGACTTGATCTACTATGAGGTCTTTCTCTGGAAATTAATAGAAAACACATCACTAGAATGAGAGTGTAAACCAAGAATTGGAAATACATGAACCTACACAGAGGAGATCCAATTTGTGAAGGGAGATCTCCAAAAATAATAGCTATGCAAAAGACCAATAAAACAATAACTAGAGAAGATCAGAAGGAG